GACAATATACAGCCTTGACATACTCCTTTTCCTATTTGGAACCAGGCCATTGTTCCATGTCCAGCTCTAACTGTCACTTCCTGACCTGCATACAGATTTCTCAAGAGGCAGGTCAGGTGGTCTGGTATTCTCATCTCTTTCAGAATTTTCCACAGTTTGTTGTGATCCACACAGTCAAAGGCTTTAGTGTAGTCAATAAAGCAGAAATAGATGTTTTCCTGGAACTCTCTTGCTTTTTCGATGAGCCAGTGGATGTTGGCAATTTGGTCTCTGGTTCCTCTGCCTTTTCTAAATCCAGCTTGAACACCTGGCAGTTCACGGGTTACATACTATTGAAGCTTGACTTGGAGAATTTTGAGCATTACTTTGAGATGAGTGCAATTGTGCGGTGGTTTGAGCGTTCTTTGGGATTGCCTTTCTTTGGGATTGGAATGAAAACTGATCATTTCCCGTCCTGTGGCCATTGCTGACATTTCCAAATTTTCTGGCATATTGAGTGCAGCACTTTCACAGCATCATCTTTTAGAATTTGAAATGGAATTTAGCTCAACTGGAATTCCATCACCTCCACTAGCTTTGTTCGTAGTGATTTCTAAGGCCCACTTGACTTCACATTCCAGGATGTCTGGCTCTAGGTGAGGGGAATCCTAAAATATAGGAATATGTAGATTTCTCTGTATGTATACAAATGTCCCAGCTGTTGTTAATTTCTCCTGGAAGAAACGTAGACACACTGAACTTCTGAATAAACATTTTACTTTTTAGCAAAGAAAATTAACTACTTGCCTATTAAATCAGCTTTGAATTCATCATTTTCCTCTTTACCCTTTTTATGTTTAAATATTAGTTTTAGTGCTGTTTTGAAGAGCCTAGATTTTACTCTGTATCATATTTAGATAGATTTTTATAAGTCTGAATGAATTATTGTAGCTAGCTAGTTGAGTAAATTGTATTTGGGTTTCTAACTAGTCAGGTTTTAGAGAATTAAAGGACAGAAAATTTAATTGCATAGTGTCAATGATTTACAAATCCATGATGACACCAATCTGAGTGGAATTAGATATAGTGAAATAATTCCATGTGTGTGTCACTCACATCGCAAGATATTTAAATTTATATACTCCAACTCTTTTCATAGTGTTGCCAATTATAAATTAATACAGAAAGTCCTTAGGATGCTTAGCCATTGTCAAGGAAACTGACACAGTAAACATTTGTTTCCTGTCCTTACAATTGTGTACATGGCAAATTGATGGTGTTTAATGGATTTCATTTTTTCAGAACAAAGATAAATAATTATGTATTGGCTGTGGAAATCTTGAAGCTTGTTAAACACCTACCTCTTTTTGGCTTATACTGCCCTTTCTTGAGTCCCTTGTTCAGGAGGTGAAGGCTAGAATTTATGCAGAGAAAGAGAATGTGTTGTCTCAAATGACTGAGAGGTAAAGAAATGTAGGGTAAATTCAAGCATGACTGGATTCAGAAGCTCACATATTGGGACTTAGTGTCTGGTTTCAACTTGTTGCCCACGTCTGCCATGTTCTGGCTTCATTTTCAGGGTCCACGTGGTCACAAGATGGCAGCAGCTGCTCCAGCCTCGTACCTCCTCAAATCAAAGCCAAATCCGAGGGGGAAATGTCCTTTCTGTTGAAATATCCCTTTGTGTTGCTCAAGTAAAAGTCCTGAAATTAGTTCTGATTAATTCTGACTAACTTGGTTTGAGTTAAGTGCCTGTTCTTGGATCAGTCTTTGCAGCCAGGGAAATTCAAAGTTCTGACTAGCTGAACTTGAGCCTTATCCCGGGAGCCAGGAATTGGGGCTGTAGTGAAAGCGTATGGATTGAAAGTTAGGAAGGGGAACTGTTTTTAGGATAAAGATGAGTGGGCTACTGGAGGATCAAAAATACTCACAATGCTCTGATCATTTTTATTTTCTTTACGCTAATTCAACATTTTTTGTGAGAATGGGAAATTTATGCACATTTATCAGTCTCAGTCTAAGGAAAATACATACGGAGGAGCCAGTCACTTACTGACATTGTAATCTGGGGCAGATCAAAATATCTTTGATCCTTGTTCTGAGGAGAAAGCAAATGGGGGTAATATTGTCTTTCTACTGCCTTATGGGTGGTTGTGAAGAGCCAAACAAATAATGCTTCTAGTAAAAATTACAATATCTAATATTTAATGAGCAGTTTATGTAGAAATTGCATTGTTTAATCCCTGCAATCATTCTGTACTATAGGTATTACGAATACTACTTGTCTTTAAATAACCTCAGCTGCTTAGTCATGTCCAGTTCTTTGCTGCCCCAGGGACTGTAAACTGACCAGGTTCCTCGGTCTATGGAGTTCTCCAGGCAAGAATACTGGAGTGTCTTGCCATGCCATCCTCCAGGGGATCCTCTCAGCCAGGGATTGAACCTGTGTCTCTTAATTCTCTGCATTAACAGGCAGAACTAGCACTACCATCACGTGGGAAGGCTTGTGGGGGTTAAGTAATTTGCATAGTATCAAGCATGCAACAATTAAAAGACTGAGTCAATGACTATGAGTCCAAGACTCATGTCTATCTGACTACCAAGTTCATGCTGATAGTCACCATGATGAAATTATAGGGGATTGTCATTGGAGTCTTCAATTCTAAGATTCACATGTTTTCATATTTCAACATTTTAAAAAATTGGCATACATCTTATAACGGATGGTCAGAGGACAATCATGATGCATAGCCATTGCTTGAACTTGGTTATTGCCAGTCTTATTTCAATTGAGTCTGATACATATGTTGAATTTAAATGCTATACAAATATTATTAAACTATTACATTATGAGTTGGCATTGAAATGGAAAGTCATTTAACAGAAAGATACAGAAACAGAGCAATTAAGCCTACATGGGATATACTGAAGCAAATATCCATGCCCAGAGGAATAGCCAGTTTCACACTTTCTTATAAGGCAATGACAACATGCTTTATGGGATCTCACAAAGGAAGATCCCTCAAAGTAGAAGCCGTCTTGTTTGCTGCTGACATACGTGCTGAACGACTGCCTGTCAAATGACAATCTTTACCAAAGCCGTAATGAAGTTACTTTGCTTATATTTTCCATTCTATGTAGGAATATGGTGACAAAGATCTATGTCCAAGTAAGTCTCAGAAATCTCTCTTTTAAAATATAAAATAAAATGTTAAGTGACAAAAGGCTTTGTGCCAGTTTAATGGCATTGGTTTTCTTTCTTTAACATATATAAAACATTTGTTTTTCTTGTAGCTTATGAAGTCTTAAATTCTATAAAATATGGTATTATTGTATTGTAGAAATAAAAATGTTTATTTTTGAGTTTTTCTTACAGATCTGTAATAGATCAACCAGTTTTAGGATCTTTAATCTAAAAATTAAACCATTAATTCTGAAAGGTATATCATTGGAGGCTTGTTAAAAAAAAAAAACTAAGAAAAATTACATTTAACAAATTATGTAAATAGAAACAAGAACAGATTTCTGGCCAGGTAATTACTCAACCTACACTTTCCTTAGCACATACTAGACAAAGATGGGTATACGGGTCTCAAAGCTTTTTTAAATGCTTTGTTTTTTGGCTGTGCTGGGTCTTCGTTGCAGGGCAGGCCTTTCTCTAGTTGCGGAGAGCAGGGGCTGCTCTTGCTGCAGCGCATGGCCCTTCATTGCGGTGGCTTCTCTTGTGGAGCACGGTGCTCTAGGGTGCTCCGGCTTCAGTAGTTGCAGTCCTGGGCTCTAGAACACAGGCTTAATAGCTGTGGAGCATGGGCTCAGTTGCTCAGGGGCTTATGGGATTTTCCCGCACCAGGGATCGAACCCGTGTCTCCTGCATGGGCAGGCAGATTCTTTACCATGAGCCACCCTGAAATCGATTCCTAATCTGGGGCTCCAGATTGCTGTTTATCAGCTCTACTTCTATTTTGGTATAAAAGGGAGTTTTAAAAAATATTCTCTATCACCCATAACTATAAATTCATAGAGAAGAAAGAGGGAATCTGTTGAAATCCATGAGGACCTATTTCTTACCATTAATGACTCTCCTTGCTCTAAAGAATTGAACTTTAAGTTACTAAGCCTTTCTGCCACAAAACAATTATTACAGAGAAAGGGTATCCATTCTCAATGTGCTTGAAGTATTTAATTAAAAATCTCATTTTAAAAATTTAATTTATATGTTTTTTAATTGGAGGATAATTGCTTTATAGCGTTGGGTTGGTTGTGCCATACATCAACATGAATCAGCCGTAGGTATGCATATGTCCCCTCCCAATTGAACCTCCTTCCCACCTCCCACCCCATCCCAGTCCTCTAGATTGTCACAGAGCCCCAGTTTGAGCTCCTTGCATCCTATGGCAAATTCCTACTAGCTGTCTGTTTTACATACGGTAATACATACATTTCTATGCCACTCTCTCAATTTGTTTCACCCTCTCCTTCCTCCACTGTGTCCACACATCTGTTTTCTATGTCTGTGTCTCCACTGTTACCCTGCAAATAGGTTCATCAATGCCATCTGTCTAGATTCCATATATATGTGTTAATATATTTGTTTCACTCTTTCTGACTTACTTCACTCTATATATAATAGGCTCTAGGTTAATCTACCTCATTAGAACTGACTCAAATGAATTCCTTTTTATGGCTGAATAATATTCCAATATATATATATATGTACCACAGCTTCTTTATCCATTTATCTGTTGATGGACATCTAGGTTGCTTCCATGTCCTAGCTATCGTATATAGTGCTGCAATAAATGTTGGGGTACATGTGTCTTTTTCAGTTATGGTTTTCTGAGGGTTATATTCTCAGTGGTGGGATTGTTGGATCATGTGGTAGTTTTGTTCAAGTTTTTTTTTTTAAGGAATCTCTATAGTGTTTTCCAAAGTGGCTATATCAATTTATATTCCAAATTACATTACAGCAGTGCAAGAGGGTTCCCTTTTCTCCACGTCCTCACCAGCATTTATTGTTTGTAGATTTTTGATGATGGCCATTCTGACTGGTGTGAGGTGATAACTCGTTGTAGTTTTGATTTGCATTTCTCTAATAATGAGCGATGTTGAACATCTTTTCATGTGCTTACTAGCCATCTGTATATTTTTGGAGAAATATCTGTTTAGGGCTTCAACCCACTTTTTGATTGGGTTATTTGTTTTTCTGGTATTGAGCTGCAAAAGCTGCTTATATATTTTGGCGATTAATCCTTTGTCAGTTGTTTCATTTGCTATTTTTTTCTCCCATTCTGAAGGTTGTCTTTTCACCTTATTTATAGTTTCCTTTGCTGTACAAAAGCATTTAAGTTTACTTAGGTCCCACTTGTTTATTTTTGCTTTTATTTCCATTAAGCTAGAAGGTGGGTCATAGAGGATCTTGCTGTGATTTATGTGAAAGAGTGTTCTGTGCTTAGTCATTCAGTCGTGTCTGACTCTGTGTGACCCCATGGACTGCAGCCCACCAGACTCCTCTGTCCATGAAGATTCTCCAGGCAAGAATACTGGAGCGGGTTGCCATACACTCCTCCAGGGGATCTTCCCGACCCAGGGACTGAACCCAGGTCTCCTGCTTTGTGGGCAAATTTCTTTACGAACTGATCCACCGGGGAAGCCCAAAGAGTGTTCTACCTATGTAAAAACACCATTTTGATCAACCTTTGCAGTTATTAAACTGTAGAAATTCACAAGGATGTCTTATTCAGTGGCTGTGAAGTCACTGAATGAAATAAAATCAGATTTGGCCTGGTATTGCATGGAAGCTCATTAGCAGGGATTAGGCTCTTTTTCCTTGGAAGTGAACCTACTTAGCACTGTTTATCTGATGCTCTCCTAAGTCTCTAGGTTCAGTAATAACAGAATCTTTTTACTACTGTATTATCCTGAAAAACATATAATTTATTTTTTAGGAAAATTTCAATATGAGTAAATTTGATTTGATCTCTAATTTCATATCCTTAAAACTTTATAGATTGCCATTTTAGTCTTAAGAGGTCCTCAAACCATGCAGTTTTGCAAATAAGTAACAATGAATAAGTTCTTAGAAACTATTACTGTTACTACTGCCAGTTTGTCTAAATACTTTGTAATTTATAGCATCACTTCACATGTATTTCTCACTAAATTCTTTCATGTTAATTGTAGAACACCTGTAGAATTGAATATGTGAAATATATTTTTGCCTCAAATACTGGTTTCCATATACTGACTTCCATCTTTTCTGTTACAAAAGAATATCTGTGCTTTGTTTGATAGAACCTCCAAAGACGATGCAGTGTGTCTGTCAGAACAATTTTGAGTTAGTCAGGATGGGTAATCTGCCTAGTATTAGAATAGTCTTGATACAACGTGAAAGTAAGTGTTGGGAATTTGTGATACAGCCATAAATGAAGTGTTAGTCACTCAGTCTGTCTGACTCCTTGTGACCCCGTAGACTGCAGCCCAAAAATGATGTGAAGTGTAAACTATTGGAAAGGAAGTTGATTAACACATTGAAAGTGTAGAGGGAAAATCAAGAGGAGAAAACATGCTCTCACCACACCTCGGAAAGTGTCAATTTTGTTAGTTGGAATTCTTGTTTATTTAGCTATTTTTTTAAAAAAATTTAAGTAATCTGTCAGGCAGACTCAGTCTCCATTGACTTTGATGTTGGAACATTGATTTGGGATTTTTGGAATTCTGCTTGTATTTATCAGATATAAAAGGATTATCTTGAAGAAACAGTCTTTCTTAAACTGAACAGTTTATTTTGAGTGGAACTTTGCTCATTTGTTTTATTGCATGTGTATGTTTATGATTTTTTATCAGGATGATGAGAACTATTTAGATTTTAATTCTTAGGATAGACTCCAGGGCATGTTCATTCTAATCAGGGTCCTGGCAAGCCTCAGTGAGCCAAGGCCCCTCAGAGGGAGCCAGCAGGAAACGATAGGCTGAGAGGCAGTGAGCAGAAGCTCGTATCTGCACATGTTTATTTTCAATAATTAGGCATAGTGTTAATAGAAACATTCATTTGAGGCAAACGCTGGTTATTTGCACAAATAGTGGAAATATGTGGTGCTGTAGACGATTACAAGATTAACTAAGCAAGAAATACTCAACTCAATGTAAATTTAAGAACGTATTTCCTAAGAGAATTAGAAATAGAATAAACTTCAAAATGCCTAATATGTTTTATTGCAGAACAATGTCCTTAACATAATTAGTTCTATTTTCTTTTAAAAGCCTTCACTGGAGTGTAATTTATATACTATACAATTCATTTTTTGAGTGTAAAATTCAACACCGTTCAGTATACCCACAGTTGTGCATACATCACCACAATCAATTGTAGAACACTTCACTGCCTGAAAAGAAATCCTGAAAATATGGTATATTAATGCATATACATGGGATCTAGAAACCGGTGCTGATGAACCTACTTGCAGGACAGGAGCAGAGACTCAGAAGTAGAGAGTGGACTGCTGGGCTCGGAGCCGGGGGAGGAGAAGGTGGGATGACCGAGAGTGCAGCACTGACATACACACACTGCCGTGTATAGAACAGATAGCTGGAGGAAGCGGCTTCACGGCGCAGGGAGCTCAGCCCGGCTCTCCGAGACGACCTGGACGGTAGGATGGGGGGAGGCGGCTCAGAAGGGAGGAGGACACGTGTACTCATAGCTGGTTCATGCTGCCGTGCAGCAGAAACTAACACGACATTGTAAAGCAGTCATACGCCAATTAAAAATAAATGAGTAATTTAAAAAAAAAGGAACCCTGGACTCCTTTGCCACTGCTCTCTAATCCTCCGGTATTTCCACAATCCCTAGGCAATTGATTTTCTCATTGTATACATGCAATTCTGTACAATACGTGGTCCTTTGAGACTGATTATTTAGCTTAGTCTACAGTTTTCAAGCTTCAATTATGTTGTAGCATGTATTGATAATTTATTTCCATTGATGACTAATGTTCTGTTGTAGGGGTATACTGCTTTTATCGGTTGATAAATATTTGGGTTGTTTTCATCTTTTGACCCTTATGAAGAATGCTGCTAAGAACATTTGTGTACAAGATTTTATGTGAACATATATTTTAGTTTCCCTTAGGTATATACATAGGAATGGAATTGTTGGATCATATAGTAATTCTATGTTTAACCTTTTTAAGGAACATCTAGGCTATTTCCAAAGTGGCTGCAGCATTTTACATTCCCATCAGCAATGTTTAAGTGTAACAATTTCTCCATATCCTGTCTGTTACTTGTTATTTTCTCTGTGTGTGTGTGTGTGTGTGTGTGTGTGTGTGTGTGTGTAAAATGATAGTCATCCTAGTGACTGTGAAGTGGTATCTCCTTGGGGTTTTGATTTTTATTTCTATATTGGCTAATGACACTGAGTATCTTCTCAGACATTTGCATATCATCTTTGGAGGGCTATTTATTCAGATCCCCTGCCTATTTTTAATTGGATTGTCTTTTTGAGTTTTATTAGCTCTTTATATGGTCTAGATACAAGTCCCCTATCAGATATATTATTTGCAAAACTTTTCTCCTGTGAGTTATCTTTTCACTTTCTTAATAGTCTCTTTTGGAGCAAGAAGTATTTAATTCTGATGATTTCCAGTTTACCTATTTCCTTTTCTTGTTGTTGTTTCTGCTTGTGTTTTTGGTGCCACTCCTAATATTATCTGATCCAAACTAAGCAAGACTTAGAGTTAACATTCATTCTAATATTTTTATAGCTTATGCCTCTTAGGTTTAGTTCTTCAATCTAGTTTGAGTTAATTTTTGTATGTGGTGTAAGGTAAGGGTCCGACTTGATTATTTTTCATGTAAATATCTAGCAGTCCCAGCACCATTTGTTGAAAAAAACTATTGCCTTGTCATCTTTGTCAGAAGTCAATTGGTTGTAAATCTGAGAGTGTATTTCTGGACCATCAATTATATTCCATTGTTCTATATGTCTGTTCTTAAGCTAGTGCTATGTTTTCTTTTTTTTTTGCTTACTATGGTTTTCTAGTAAGTTTTGAAATTTGTAAATGTTCAGTTTAGTTCAGTCACTCAGTCGTGTCAACTCTTTGCAGCCCCATGAACTGCAGCACGCCAGGCCTCCCTGTCCATTGCCACCTCTGGAGCTTTCTCAAATTCATGTCCATTGAGTCGGTGATGCCATCCAACCGTCTCATCCTCTGCCATCCCCTTCTCCTTCCGCCTTCAATCCTTCCCAGCATCAAGCTGTTTTCCAGTGAGTCAGTACTTCATAGCAGGTGTCCAANTTGTTCCATGTCCAGTTCTAATTGTTGCTTCTTGATCTGCATGCAGATTTGTCAGGAGGCAGGTCAGGTGGTCTGGTATTTCCATCTCTTTTAGACTTTTCCACAGTTTGTTGTGATCCACACAGTCAAAGGCTTTGGCAGCACTTTAACAGCATCATCTTTTAAGATTTGAAATAGCTCAGCTGGAATTCCATCACCTCCACTAGCTTTGTTCATAGTGATGTTGATTCTTAAGGCCCACTTGACTTCGGACTCCAATATGTCTGGTTCTAGGTGAGTGATCACACCATCATGGTGGTATCTGGGTCATTAAGATTCCTTTTGTATAGTTCTGTGTATTCTTGTCACCTCTTCTTAATATCTCCTGCTATTAGTTCCATACCATTTCTGCCCTTTTGGTGCCCATTTTTGCATGAAATATTCCCTTGGTATCTCTATTTTCTTGAAGAGATCTCTAGTCTTTCCCATTCTATTGTTGTCATCTATTTTTTTGCACTGATCACTGAGGAAGGCTTTCTTATCTCTTCTTGCTATTCTTCAGAACTCTGCGTTCAGATAGGTATTTCTCCTTTGCCTTTAGCTTCTCTTCTCTTCTCAGCTATTTGTAAGGCCTCCTCAGACAACCATTTTGCCTTTTTGCATTTCTTTTTCTTGGGGATGGTCTTAATCACAGCCTCCTGTACAATGTCACAAACCTCTATCAGTAGTTCTTCAGGCACTCTATCAGACTTAACCTCTTGAATCTGTTTGTCACTTCCACTGTATCATTGTAAGGAATTTGATTTAGGTCATAAATTAGGGAATGTATACCCTCCAAAATTATTCTTCTTTTTCAAGATTTTTTGGCTATTCTGGTTCTTCTGCATTTACACATAAATTTCAGAATTAATTTCCTAATTTAACAATTTATAGACCATTGTTACCTTAACAATATTAAGCCTTACAATCCAGGAACATGGATGTCTTTCTATTGACTTGGATGTTTAATTTCTTTCCACATTTGTAGTTTCCAGTGTACAACTTTACTTCATTGTTCATTCATTCCTGAGTATCTCATTACTTTGCTGAATTGGTTTATTAGTAGTTAGTTCTATTTTTACAATAACCTTTCAGTGGCATGTTTAGGACAAAGTTTGATTACATTCTCAATACTTTTGATAACATTAGAGACATTCTGGGTTATGGCAAAACATGGTTTGAAACACATAAAAACTTTTATCATTTTTTTTTTTTAGGTAATTTAATACTATGGTGGAATAACAAACAAACTGTTCATTTTGTGACACTAAATTTCCATTATTTTGCATACTAGGTTTAGCTAATGATATAGATCTGAACTTAAGAAAATCATAAGTTAGATGCATGAAATTCTCTAAATCATTCTTTTTCAAAATGAAATCACACCAGCAGTATGTACTAGCATCAGTTGGAAAATTGTTAGATACTTTTGAGTCCCACTTCTGATTTATTGAATCAAATGTGTTTTGTCACACTGCACTGATTCCTAAAGCTTTATAGTAAGTTTTGCAATCAGATAGTGTGAATCTTAGGGATTTTTCAAAATTGTTTTGGCTATCCTATGTCCTCCGCTTTTTTTCATACAAATATCAAGGTCAGCTTCTCAGTTTCTACAAAAGCTTTCTGGGTTATTGATTGGAATTTCACTGACTCTATCTATCAGTCTGAGAAGAATTGATGTCTTAATAACACTGATCCTTCTAAACCATGGATACCATATCTTTTTTTTTTTTAATACTCTCACCAATGTTTTTTAGTTTTAACAGACAAATCTTTTTTAGATTTTTTGTTGTTTACTCTCTAAGTCACGTTCAACTCTTTTGTGACCACATGGACTGTAGCCCTCCAGGCTCCTGGGATTTCCCAGGCAAAAATAATGGAGTAGGTTGCCATTTCCTTCTCCAGGGGATCTTCCTGACCCAGGCATCAAACTCGCATCTCCTGCACTAGCAGATGGATTGTTTACCACTGAGCCATCAGGAAAGCTCTAAAAAGGAAGCCCTTTTAAGGTTTAATATACAAATTTTGTTAGTTTATTTCTATTTTTTGAATGCTATTTTAATAGTGCTTTAAAATTTTCAATTTGCAATTTTTGGGTGCTTGAATAAAAATTACAAATGATGTTTTTATCTTCTGTGTGTGCTTAGTCACTCAGTCATGTCCAACTCTTTGAGACCCCCAGGACTGCAGCCCACCAGGCTCCTCAGTTCGAGGGATTCTCCAGGCACGAATACCAGAATGCATTGTCATTCGCTTCTCCAGGGGATCTTCCCAACCCAGCAATTGAACCTGGGTCTCCCGCACTGCAGGCGGATTCTTTACCATCTGAGCCACAAGGGAAGTCCATTTATATCTTAAGACCTTGCTAAACTTACTTACTAGATCCAGTAGCCTTTTTTTTTTTTTTTTTAATTCTTGGCATTTTCTGCATAGACAATCGTGTCATCTGAAAATTTTTTTAAAGTTTTATTTCTTTTCCCCAATCCTTTAAATTCTTTTTCTTTCCTTTTTGCACTGCTTATTATTTCCCATACAATGTTAAATAGGAGTTATCAGAGAATAAAACATTTAAAAATGTTTTATCTACTATTACATGGTACCTGGAAATGGGGGAGAAGGGTTTAAAATATAAAATTATAGCATTCTTATTTTGTAATAATTAGGAAAAAATCAACTAGCAATTTTTAAAAAGAAAAGAATAGACTATGCAAAGTTATACAGCAGCATTTGACTACAGAAATGGGAGGTGTGGGAGGACACTGGAGATCCCTCTATCTAGCTCTCCTATTATACATTGAGTAGAAATGAGGTTCTCTGTTGCAGTGACTGGGACATTTTGGTTCTAATAATCAGATGTCTAGATTCTTAGCCCCATTTTCTTTCCCAGGAAGGATAATTTCTTGAGACATCATGACATCTCCACCGCCAGTGGCTTAAGTTTTAATTTTGGGTGTCCAGATCTCAGTCTCTACACCCCTAACCTGCCACTTAGAAAACAACCCAGGGACTCCCCTGGTGGTTCAGGGGTTCAGAAGCCCTCACCCAGCGCAGGGGACAGGGGTTCGATCTCTGGCTGGGAAGATTGCATGGGCTGCGCAGTAACGGAGTCCATGTGCCGACTCCCGAGCCTCGCCTAACAGCCAGCAGGCTCCAATAGAAGAAGGCACCACAGTGAGAAGCCTGCGCACAACTAGAGCGTAGCCCCCGCTCGCCACAGCTACAGAAAGCCCACACACAGCAACGGAGACCCATGAAGCCAAAATAAATAATACATATTAAAATAACAAACCAAAACACTCCAGCTTTGTGCTTTGAGACGTGCTCCTTCTGTCCGTAACCTCCCCTCTGCAGGGGCTGTTTAGAGCTAGGCACTGATGCTTGGATCCACCCCTAGAAATTCTGACCTGATTGGTCTGGGGTATGCCCTGGGCATCGGGACTTTTAACAACTCACCCTGTGATTTTATTGTGCTAATATACTCCTTCCCAGAGCTGTTTGGCGCTCAGAACTTTAGGTGGAAGCTTGTTATAATCTTCGTGTCAGATGCGATTCAGGTGTTTGGGACTTTAATAGACACCAGGCCCTTCTTTGGCTAGCTGAAGTATTTGGTGTCTATTGCCCTTGACCTACTGCCTGTGTGACCTGCTGGGGTCTTCCCGGGTAATTTCTGCTGCTGGGGAAGCAGGCTTTCTGTTCATTGACTTTCAATGACCTTCCAGCCGCGATTCCCTCCCGGCCTTCACCTGCAGATGTCTGCCTGCCTGTTCTTACCGGCTGGCTTGGCAGAACTGCTCACACCATCTGTCCTGGGCTGTCTGGACCAAGAAGCTTTGAACAGGGGGCGGACTTTCCTGTGGAGTCAAAGGTCAGCCATACTACTCTGGCTCAGAGCAAAGATTTTCTAGTTAGCTCTCCCTCACAACTTCTGACATGGCCGCAACTTCTCACATTGTGTCTTAAAAGAGATGTGGAATACACATATATATGGGAGGATTTTTATGTACATATAAAATAAAAAGCAAAGGGGCATATTTGCATAAAATGGAGGCATACACATCTTATTTAACAAAATATATTTTCTCTTGATTTCACTGACCAGTTTATTGGCTGTAATAAGAACTATTCCAGGACCAAAGAGTTAAAAGGCTAACAAACTGAAACCACTCCTGATGTGGAAAAAGAAGCATTCCTCCTGATTCTGTTTTCAAGATCTATAAACACCATATGTTGAGTGGACAGTATTATAATGTTTTGACTTAAACTGTGGTCTGTTTTTCTTTCTTTTTCTTTTTTTATCCCCTTGAGACAAACCTAATTGATTCAAAAGACAAAAGACCAAGGACATTACAAGAGAAACAGGAATCAAATACTAACAGTTCATGTACATATGGAATTACTTATTTTATCATCAGAAAATGTTCCCTTCATGCAGAGAGTGGCCAAAGTGATTCTTTTACCATCTGATCACTCGGTTAATATACAGAGTTCTGTGCTGCATTCCTGGCCTGGAAAGACATGCCGTAAAGTAGATACATAGAAAGGTCTCTTACCTTGGCAAAATTGGTCAAAGGACAAATTTTGCTGCTGAGAAACTTGGGAAAAAATGTGCATATACCCAATTTCACAAGATCATGGTTTCTTTTTCTCTGGGAAAAAAGGTCAAATTTTATGGATTATGAACCTCAATAAGAGTTAAAGTCCTTTAGAAAATTATTCTCTACCTAAATCTAGCTCCACATCACTTTTTGCAGCCTGCCTTCTCTCCTGCCCAGAGCCACCTCAGTCCCTCACTATGCACATTCAGACTTGCTGTTTCAAGTTGTTCTTGGGTGATGAGTGAGAAGGCCTAACATTTGTATAAGATGCTCATCGCGTTAACACAATTGAATCTGTGAGCTCAAGGGCTTAATATGCCACAAGTCAAGGCACTGTATTATCGAACATATGTATTTTTTAAAGAGTAAGCATTCCTGACATCAAGCATATGCCTTATGAAACTGATAACATTCAGTCCGGTGTCGTTTTATTTCAGCATTGGAACACCTGGCTGTACCTCAGCCCTATGTGCCGGCAGACAATAGAGTTCTTAGCGGTGACATTCAGTAAGATTCATCATCCAGTGAAATCACCTTTGTCAAGGGGTGTGCCACAGACAGTTGCTCACTAGCAGTGGGGGCCACATTTGTGACTAAAGAGGAACGTCTAAGACCTCTTCAGTTCAGACATTCAGAGGAGAGTCCTTCATGATACCAGGCAGGAAAATGCATATACCTGTAGCCATCTGATTTCATAGCTTGCAGGGCAATGCACACCCCATCCTGGAGGTATTGATAGACAGGAGGGTCAGGATGGATCAGGATGCAAACCTAATGTGGAACCTGCCCTGTTCCCCACAGTCAAATAAGCACGCCTCCTTTCTCCTGGGAGCAAAACACATGGGTTTAGAATGATGGGAACTAGATAAGCAAACAGCTGAAAAGGAAGCACTATTTCTTTGACCCTGGATGCTTTCCAAGTAACATTTTTAGGAACACTAAAAATATAATCACATCTCATATTTTTGAGCATTTATCATACATTAGGCACTTTTTATAATTATCTAATATAATCTACACACAGAAATGCTCCTCATATTTATTTATTTATTTATTTTTTTTTGTGTGTGTAATAAAGTTTTATTAAAGTATAAAGGAGATAGGGAAAGCTTCTGACATAAGCATCAGAAGGGGGCAAAAGAATAACCCCTTTGCTAGTATTAGCAATGGAGTTATATACTCTCCAGTGAATCCAAAGAAAGTTTGGAGGCTGCAAAGACCTCACCAGACCCACTCCCATAATTTACATTTTAAGATAACAGAGTTGGCCAGAAGGTTTAATCCAAAGACTGTCCTCAGTGGATTCTTGGCCTCCGGAGGAGACGAATTCAATCCGGGGCCAGAGACGAGGCTGGATCGCTCAGAGCTTTTGTGTAATAAAGTTTTATTAAAGTATAAAGGAGATAGGGAAAGCTTCTGACATAGGCATCAGAAGGGGGCAAAAGAATACCCCACTTCTAGTCTTTAGCTGTCTGTTAATAAAGTTTTATTAAAGTATAAAGGAGATAGGGAAAGCTTCTGACATAGGCATCAGAAGGGGGCAAAAGAATAACCCCTTTGCTAGTATTAGCAATGGAGTTATATACTCTCCAGTGAATCCAAAGAAAGTCTGGAGGCTGCAAAGACCTCACCAGACCCACTCCCATAATTTACATTTTTCGCTCCTCATATTTATTATCTCCATATTCCCAAAGAGGAAACTGAGACCAAAAGAGAATTTCACAAAAAGTTAAGTGATGGGTTTATGTTTAAAACTTATACTGAGGCTGGTGTCTGTGTAATTAACCATTATTTTATAGGGGTGTCTCTGAATAAGCACTTTATCTATGTCGTCTTATTAAATCTTGACAATACTATGAAGTACTGTTGTTTTCCTACTTTATGGATGAGGCTAAGAAAGCTTAGAGAGGTTAAAGAACTTAAAAGAGTTCTCTCTAAGAGCTTAGAGAGAACACATCTGTACATTTCTGGAGGTGGGATCCAAACTCACACACGTTGACCAGAAATAACTACCTTCACCTCCTTGCAATACCTCCAATGCTTCTGATCAACCAGGGTCAGCAGAGACTGCATCCCTGTGGTCTTCTGCTTGCCTCCTCCTTTCGCCCTTGGCATTGCTGTCTCCACCCTATCCTAGGATGAGCTCATATGTGTACATCTGACTACACGGGCTGCAGGCTCACTCATTTCACCATTCCTAGATTCCAGATCGTGGCAATCTGCATTTTCAAATCACATAATCATTATACTTTAGGACTAATATTAAAACTGTTGGATGGTACTTCTACCTATGTTTGCCCTTGTGACAGAAAAGACCTATGCAAAATGAATGCATTTGAGACAAGTGCTCGGGCCTGGTGCACTGGGAAGACCCAGAGGGATCGGGTGGAGAGGGAGGTGGGAGGGGGGACCGGGATGGGGAATACATGTAAATCCATGGCTAATTCATTTCAATGTATGACAAAAACCACTGCAATGTTGTAAAGTAATTAGCCTCCAACTAATAAAAATAAATGGAAAAAAAAGAAAAAAACAAAATGCATTTTCAAACATCGAAGTATACTTCAAATAGAGCTTAAATACTTAAACTTTTAGTCTGACCAGGTGCCTTGAGAAGATGAGCTGCCTTTTCCTCAATATACATTTGATATGAAGAAGCAAAAGTTAGAGTATATTTTCCCTGGAGTCTATAAAAATCACATTGCTTGCAATAGAGCATCATAAATTTACTTGAGCCCTTTCAGATATTGAATTGAATATATCAAATATAAAATACACTCACATATCTTAACCTGCACATGTTTATGGTAGTTGGTCCCTGTGGAATTTCTCTCATTATATAATGACTCTAAATGCTTTGGGAGGCAGGGAGAGAAGAAACATTCCTTTCAATATCTCCCAATGATAAAAGATAGACATCTTTTGTTTGATGAGAACTATGGTCAAAACAACCATTTAAATGGTACATAAAAAGAAAGCACAGAGCAAGTACAATTGAATAAAACCAGACCGTGAGTCTCTTTGGCACAGAGATTCCAGATATAGCACAGATGGATCCAGAAAGAGGCCAGCATCATTAGACTTTTAAAATAGAGATGCAATCTTTGATAGGAGGTGGGGGGAGGAAAAGCCTTCTTGGCGGCTGTTCACTTTGGAAATCTTTATCAGAGAATATGAGGAATTTCCTTCTGATAATGGCCTGTTGGATAGAGCTAATCCTTTAATTTCGGATTCCCCCTGTTCTCTTTTGCCAGCTACAAATACTTAAAACAATTCCCAGATTTCTAAGGTGTATGAGAGTGTAACTGCAAACTCTGAATAAACAGTTCACTACATTATAAGATATCTTTGCTATTATTCAGTCTTGAAACTCCAAATTTGGACTTTTGTGTTTACCTGAATAGGATCACATGGGAATCTCTGCTTAGAAAATTTTCATGTTTGTGTAAAGGTCAGGGTGTTTTCATGGTTTCCAGTGATTTTCTGACAGAGGATAGAAGGGTTCCAGATGTTGGGATGATAGCAGGAACCATTGCCCTGAAAAATCAAAGGCACCTGACCCAAGGGACATCCTAGAATAGGGGAGAGAGAATTAAACAGAGAATCAAAATTGTAGATTTTCTCCTGAGCCTGCCACAAACTTAAGTTGCCTCCCCTGGATCTCAGCTATTACACTGGGTGAACTCTGGGGGCCTCTTTCAAAAGTCTAAGCTATAACTTTATTGTTGTTATTTGTAGCTATTATTATTTTTATTATCATTTTTATTATAACTCACTTTGTACAAAAGTGTTTGAGGTCATGGGTTGAAAAAAAAAACAGAAAACCTGCAACTGTATACAATAAACAGATAAATAGGTCAAAGGAAAAGTAGACTAGTTAGTCAAAATAAAGATCATCTGAAGCACTGTCTACAGCAATGTTAACTATAGTCAGAATTTTGTACTGTATATGCCCAGTATTTATTTCTTATAACTTACAGTATTTATCTTACAATTTATATTACAGCTTACAACTAAAGTTGTAAGGTTTTTTTTTCTTACAACTTTATCTTTGTACCTCTCAACCACCTTTAGTCAATTCCCCCTCTCTCCACTCCCAGCTGTTGATAAGAACAAACCCTATCTCTTTTTCTATGAGTTTTGTTTGTTTGTTTCTTAGATTTCACCTATAAGTGAAATCAAACAGTATTTATCTATTGGTCTTATTTCATTTAGCATAGTTCCTTAAGATACATCCATGTTGTTGCAAATGGCAAGATTTCCTTCCTTTCTTACAGCCAAATATTATCCATATATCCATATATATATATACTTATACATATATATACATACAGTAAGTCCCCTACCTATGAATGAGTTCTGTTCCAAGAGCATGTTCCTAAGTTCAATTTGTTTGGAAAGTCCAACAAAGTTAGCCTAGGTCCCCAATGAACACAACTGGTGATGTAGTACTATGTAGGTGTTTAATACTTTTCATACAAATAATCCATGAAAAACAAATGCAGAAAATAAAGAAAACATTTCTAACCTTATAGTACAGTTTTCTGAAAAGTACAGTAGTACTGAATGACAGCTGGCACACAGGGTGTGCCAGGGGTTCAAGGGAACAGGCAAGAAGAGATACTGACTGTAGGAGGGAGAGGAGGCGGGAGACGGAAGAGCCGGAGAATCACCAGCAATGGGGAACAGAGGGCAAGCTACAATTTCACTCGCCCCTGACACTGATGACAGGGGTTTTGGGTCCTCGCTAGATTCAATTCTATCTGCCTTCTTGAAAAATTGATCCAGTGATGCCTGGGCAGCAGTTCTTTTTCTCGCATCATATTTGACATAGCAGTGCTGGACTGCATTGTGACCGGTGGCTGCAACCTTCGAGTACCGTTCTACATTTGGGTTCCAGGCCTCAAAAATGGGCCTCCTCAAGTAAAGAACATCCTCTTGCCATTTCTTGCATTGTGAACCTCTTTGGTCCTTCGGTCACTTATTCTCCCTGTTGTCTCTCTCTGTCCTTTCTCTGGGCCTCCAGTTCTACCAGGTCTTCACTCATAAGCTTCCTGTGCTGCCCAGCAAGAAGCTCAATGAAGTTGTCCTCGTGCAGACCTAGTTTCATCTTCTCCTTGATGGTCATGAAGTTGCTGAAGATCTCTGAACTCCTCATCCACTTTCTCAAATCCACGAAAATCGTGAACAAACTGTGGGCAATTGTTCTTCCACACTCCATTCATGGTGACAGCTGTAACTTGAAGCCAAGCAAAAATCAATGTCTTCATAGCCTTGTAGATGTTACAGTTCTTCCAAAATTGTTTCAAGGTTGTTCCTAATTCTCAGTTCAGTTCAGTCTCTCAGTCATGTCCAACTCTGTGACCTCATGGACTGCAGCACGCCAGGCCTCCCTGTCCATCAGCAACTCCCAGAGTCTACCCAAACTCATGTCCATTGAGTCGGTGATGCCATCAATCATCTCATCCTCTGTCATTCCCTTCTCCTCCCACCTTCAATCTTTCCCAGCATCAGGGTCTTCTCAANGTGTGTATATATACATATATATCTCACACTCTCTTTTTCCATTCATCTGTTTGATGGACACTTAGGCTGTTTCCATGTCAATGGCTATCGGAAACAATGCTGCAGTATACGTGGAGGTGCAGGTATCTTTTTGACATGATAATTTCATTTTATTCAGATGTATATGTCCTGAAGTGGAATTGCTGGATAGGATTTTCTTATTTTCTTTCTGTCTTTCTACTTTGGATCCTTCCAAGGTAAAACTGGGGCCATACTCATAGAGTTAATAACAAAAACTGAGAAGTCAATGCTAAAAACTCAAGAAAAATAATTAACCTAATAAAATTCCAGTGGTAAAGAGACAGAGATTCTATAAAATTCTGCCATTTCTTTCCTGATTAAAAAAAAAAAAGCCTTTTTAGATACCAACCAGATTGTTGATATAATTGTTTTTATTTGCCAAATTCATGGCAAGAGAAAATATATTCTTTTCTAACTGCCAAAATCATATCTTACTATCAGGATTATTATATTTACATTTTATAAGGGCTGTAAAGAGCCTAGTACAGTTTCAATGACATAGAAACCTAAATGACTATTTCCAGATTCTGTTTCCTACAGTACCCCTCCAACCTGGCCAATGGCTAGTTTAGCTTCTTGGTGGTCTTCTTCAAACAAAGGACTAGCAGAGTGAGTCCCATGATCAACTACACTCATAGCATATGTACAGTTTTAGTTTTATATACTGTTTTAGTTTTATACCGGCTGAATATTTGTGTGTTGTCCCTCTCCCCACCAAATTCAAATGTTGAAATCTAATCCCCGGTGATGGTATTAGAAGGTGAGGCCTTTGGGAGGTATTTAGGTCATGAGGTTAGAGCCCTCATGAATGGGATTAGTGTTCTTTAAAAGGGATCTCAGAGAACTCCCTTGTTACATTCTATCATGAGAGGACACTGCAAAAAGACAGTAATCTATGAACCAGAAAATGGACTGTCACCAGACACTGAATTTAGCAGTACCTGAACTTGGAATTTTCAGCCCCCAGAACAGTGAAAAATAAATTTCTGTTGTTTCTAAGTCACCTAAGTCTAAGTCTATGGTATTCTGTTATAGTAGCCTGAATGGACTAAGACTGAGACATCAGTGATGGAAGTTTTTAAAAGTTCTCAGTCTTCAAACGTGGCTTCCTGGGTGGCACTAGTGGTAAAGAACCCACCTGCCAATGCAGAAATGGCAACCCACTCCAATATTCTTGCCTGAGAAACCCCATGGACAGAGGAGCCTGGTGGGCTACAGTCTTTGGGGTTGCAAAGCTGGAGACTACTGAGCGCACACACACACACACACACACACTTAAAAGGTCTTAAAAGGTCACTCACTAACGGAGTCTGAAAAATTTTTTTCATTCCATTTTTCTAACATTTGAGGTCTTACCATTCCAGTCTTGTTAACAAAACAGTACCATATAACTTTCTTAAGGATTAGGGAAGGGGCCACTATTGTGCTCTACTTGACCTTCAAAAGCCATCCTAAATCTGTTGGGAAGCAAACAGGATAACTATAATTTGATCTGTAGTGTTGGCCCACCAGGAGGGGACTCAAAGAAA